AGGAAATACTATCTTAATAATAAGGTGTGCACCTAAAGTGAAGACTACATCACAAATAGTGACAAGAAATGGAGAAAGGAGATTTAGGAGGATAAATTTGCTTTTATAAATTGTTTGTTAACCAGAAATATATACAAATGTGAATATTTTTAAACTGGTTTAATGTTCCACTCTTGTCTTATTTGAAGTACATAAAATATATGTGCAAACACAAGCATGTGTCCATCATGTTTGGACAATTGTGTATTTAAGGCTACTGAAACACCCAAAGAGGAAGTAGATATAATATGGAAACTTTATGTGTTTGCTACAACATAATTCTATTCATTCTAATTGATACTATGGACTATTTTTTCAGTTACATTCCAGTTTTATAACTGAACTATACAATTTTATCAGTTTCCATGAGCAGAGTTGCATTAGTATTTTTTTTTCTATTTTATTTTTTGTCTTTTTGAAGCAGGGTCTTCCTGCAGCCCCAGCTGTCCTGGAACTCACTATGTAGACCAGATTGGCCTTGAACTCACAGAGATTTGCCTGCCTCTGCCTCCCAAGTGCTGGGACTACAGGCGTCCACCACCACGCCCGGCTCATTAGTATTTTTATATGACATTTAGTAATTAAAATTGGCTTGTAGAGTACTATCAACTGTAATTTCACAGTTATATTTTATAGATTTTGCCTAAATTTGTCATCGTTCACTGGAAATCTGTATTCTCTAGCACTGTGTGTGGATTCCACTGCTGACTGGAAAATGAATGAAATTAGGGACCTCCCGTCCTGACATTCTTGAAGAGAATCTGATCAGTTTCTCTCCCACAAGCTTACCTTTCATTCAAAATATTGCATGTCCTTTTTTGGCAAAAATCCAAGTTTAACATGAGATGTTATAGCTAAACGAAAACCAGTAAATAAGTGGCTGGGATTTGAAGTGTTGGCTAAGATTTGCTGTTTGGTCATACTGTTTGCAGTAAGATGAGCTCTTCTGCACACTTCCTTGCTGTTTGCAGGAAGATGAACGTTGTCTTTCATGCCTTTCTTTTTAGGATGTCTTAATTCAGCACCAGATAATTTGATATCGCTGCTCCAGTTTTCTGTAAGTCTGTTTTCATGTATAAAAGTTGTGTCAGGCAATAGTAAAATGCCTTTGATAAAAATGTCTAACCAATACTCAGCAGAAGTCAGACACATCACCCGCTAACAACATAAGGTTGATTAACAGACATTCCTTGTGAAGACCCACTTAGATTCCATAACAACTTGAAGCGTAGGTCTATAAACATGTGAATCAACAGTTATTTATTTAGCTTAAATGAACTGGTTACTTCAGTTTCAACTACAGAAAGATTGATAGCACATTTCATAATGCATTGCTATAAAAGTTGATATATCCAGATCTGGTAGTATTATATTTAATATAACTATTGATACGTAGCTTATAACTAACTATACCATTTTTAAACGAGTCATCATTAAAATGGCTTAAGTCAATAGGATACATTGAATATTTTTACAGACTCTTAGCCTCAAAGTATGATTCTGCATGTCTCAGAAATGATAGGATGGGTTAAAAATGAAGGGATACTCTATTCAGTTAGCTATAGTAATAAAACTATTCATTTACAAAGTATATAATAACATAATGGGGATATGCCTCATTTATGTGTCAGTTATTTATTTACTCTTTTCTCTCATATGCTCAGCATGGACAGGAATGAAAGGCAGGAGATACAGAGGCCAAATCATAGTATTAATACAATCTGTGTAAGTACAAAAGAGCAGTGATCAGAGAGAGCCAGGTTCACCCAAAATGCTCCTTTGGGGAGCAGGTTTTCACCAGGAGGCTGTCTGGGGTAGAAAGGGTAAAAGTAACCTTTCACACCTGGTAGAACCTGACGTTAGTTTTATGCTTGCTTTTAAGAATACTGACTGACACATTGAATAACATGTTTAATCATCTCCTCTTACATTCACTGCAAAGTTTGGGGACTTAATAACAGTTACATAAAACTAGCATAACTGTTCATGGGAAGTTTCTTCACTTATCTACCCATGTGTATCTGAAAAAAATGAGTGTGTTATATGTAAATTTGTGTATGTAATTTTTGTATGTTTGCATATAATACCTGTATTATATTTGAGTTTCATGCTCTACTGATTGAGCAAGCCAGACAACTCACGAACTGTATTATATTTAAACATACAATAAGAAGCTCTTTCAAAAATATTTTTTTAATTTTAGTTTATGTGTATGAGTGTATTGCCTGCATGTATGTAGATACACCTGCTTATGTGGTGCCCACAGAGGTCAGAAGAGAACATTGGATTCCCTGGAAATTGAGTTATGTTCTTTTTATATCTATACACGATTTCTTTTTTGCTATCTCCAAATACAACAAGTAAATTGATAAAGAACTGTAACAAACTTGCATATCATCTAGATGGGTCTATAGTTATTATTTTTCTTAACCTGGGAATAATACTGTTTTTAATTATCTAGACATCTGTAGTTAAAAGGATAGCTACTTTAAAACAAGTACCTGCTTTCAATTGGAAGGGTTAGAATAATACAAATAAACTGTGTGTGCTCAAATAAAAAGCGCCTGCAGACTTTCAATAAAGTCGAGGACTACACTGCAACTATCATTCCTCATAGGGATAGTCTGAAAGTCAGAGTCCCACAGTAATTTGGAGCAAGGACACTGGAGTGAGGACTGAGGCTCTGGCCCTTGTCATAAAAAACTTTGCTTGTAACAAATATGTGGCACATTTCTTGTACTGAATCTTTACTTCCATAACTGGATGTTTCTGGTAATATAATGTAGACATAGATAATATATAACTTAAAAGATTAAATGCAAAACCTACTATGAAAAACAATAAAATGCTAAGCTCTGTTTGAATTACAGCGCTTTATTTTATTTTGCATTTTAATATATATCATTTGATTATTTTAAAATATGTATTAATTTTCTTTTATGTGTATGAGTGTTATGCTTGCATGTAAGTCCACTTGTGCCATGCAATGCCCATAGAGGTCAGAAAAAAGGTGTCAAATCCCCTGGAACTAGAGTTATGATAGTTGTTAGGTGCCATGTGGGTGCTAGAATTTGAAACCTGGTCCTCTGCAATAGTAGTAGTGCTCTTAATTACTGAGCCATCTCTCCAAACCTCTTGCTTGATGATTTTATATTTACATAATATCATAGGGAAGTGGCCATGGTGATTCAACAACTTGATGTCCTCATCCCTTTCTTAGTCACCTTTGTGCACATAATAGAGTTAGATCACCTAACTCCACCCTCTGGGTCCATTTTCAGTAAATAATATGCTATTACTAGCTACGATTCTCCTGCTGTGTTAGATTGTGTGAGCACCATGATGCAGATTTGCAGTACTTTAACCCTTCTCCTAGTTCCTCTCCCTTCCCATGCTTAGCAACCTCCCTGTACTCACCACTTCTCTAAGTTTGGCTTTTTAGACTCCACATATAAGTGAAATCATGCAGCATATTTTTTTTCTGCCTGGCTTATTTCATTCAGAATAATGTCCTCCAGATTCATCCATATGATAAATTACAGTGTTTCATTTCCAAAAAGCCAGAGTGTGCTAACAAATATTAAGACATTCACTAATTTTTTCACCACTTATTTTAGATTGAAATTAATACTTAACAATACTCAGGTAGATGTATCATGTGTTACATATGGTGTGCATAAGGCTGAGGAACTGATAGGCATACATGTTACAGTGGCAGAATCAGGATTTGAAATCAAACAATATGCTCTAGGAACATCGGAGTGTAAACCAGTATACTGTGGACAGCATTATACTTGACTAGAGAGAGCCAATGAGCTCACCATTGCCCTTAGGGACAAGAGTGAACTGTGAAGCTCATCATCATCATTAGTGTGTTGGTTTGAGAAAAGTCCTGCTCACTTGCTAGCGGCTAAGTTAGTTCTTCAAAGGAAGACTTTTTAACATTCTTTTAAATAAAATTTTGAGGATTCGATACAATGTATTTTTATTATCTATCTATCATCATCATCATCTATCTATATCTATCTATCCATCAGCTAATCTATCTATCTATCTATCTATCTATCTATCTATCTATCTATCTATCATCTATCTATATCATCTATATCTATATCTATCTTTATCTATATCATCTATATCTATATCTGTGTCTATATATCTCCTTCAAGTCAAATTTGTGTACCCAATGCCCTCCAGCAGTGTGAGTCCACCCACTGGAGCCTGGTTAACCTCCCCAGCCTCACATAGTTTAAGAAAACTGAACCTTCCCCTCCCAGCAGTTATTGGTTGCCAATTATCCTCATCTATGTTTGGGGCTTCTTACCCATTTCTTCACTTCTACACTGGAATTTTATCTGGTTTAAGCTTGCATGGGTCTTCTTCATACTGTCACCATTGTGGTGAGATCAAATGAGTAACTACCCAACTGCCTGGAAAACTCTTCCTTCCTAAGTTTTGAAATTTGCCTCCACCTACATTTTCTATAAATATTATTGGATTAATAATGTAAAGTTTATGAAAAGCCAAATTCAAGAATGGGAAGGAAAAATGGGTGCAAGAAAAGTTAGAAAAACAAAATTAATAAGAGAACTTCAATTTCTGTACAAAGAAATGTCCTGAATTGTATTTCCTTTTACTCACACCCACACAGAGATTCTTCAAACTGTGGTGCCGAAAGTTCTTGTAAAACTTTCAGTGTATTAGCTACTGTCCTATAAACCTACTATATTGTCTTTCCTACACGTTCCCTACAGTAACAGTTTCGAGTGCTATTCCTCATCCTCACTTGGAAGAAGTGATATAGTCCAGCTCTGCTGTCAGCCTTCCTCTGTAAGGAAGATTATGCATGCTTTAAGTCAAAGTACATGCTTTTCAAATATATATGTCTCTTTGGCATATTTCCAGAGATCATGACAGAATGTTTATGTGATTGTTTAATGGCAACACTCACTTCTTTCTAGGAGCAATTTTTGACGAATCTGCCAAAAAGGATGATGAGGTATTCCGCACAGCAGTTGGTGACCTCAACCAGAATGAGGAAATCTTACAGACTGAGAAAATCACATTTTCAGTGACATTTGTTGATGGCAACAACCCTTTTCAAGCTGTTCAAGAAGGTAAGGTCCATAAGCCGTCTACTGTTGATTTTGATTATTTTATTTTGTTGTTCGATTCAGACGGAAATGAAATTAGATTTGTAAAATAGCAGTTAAACCTGGGCTTTGATGTTTGACTATTTCTGTTGCTTTCCTTTGAGAGTACTTTCTTTTTTGGTAAATTTTATCCTGTGTTCAACTTCTGATGGTGTTACTATATCGCAAGTTACTGTCTTAATTGAAATTTAATATGAAAACAAGCATGCATAGTTTACAATAAAAAGCTTTATGACATTTTTATAAGTTGGGTGGAAATGGGGCATTCCTTTAAAATAGGACTTTCTACCAGAATTCTTGATTTGGCTTTCTCTGTGATAACTGCCAGGTCGAGTATTGAAATAATTTCAGTGACATTTCAGGTATGCTCATGGCAAGTAACATGGCTACAAGGAAAACCTGTAGACACTAGATGCAAACCGGCAATCTCCTGCTGGGATCCCAAAGGCCTGACCTTGGCTATAAGGTTCCACACCTTTCCAAACGTTAAAGCTCTTTCTTCCATTCTCTCTGCTCACTGGAGTAAATTAATATTTTCCTTTGAAAATTAGCCATTTAGATCATTTTTATTATACTCAACGTATCATTCCTGTTAAGAATTTGACTGAAAGTTCTTATAGTAGTAGTTTTCTGTGTGTGATGGTGATAATCTTATTTCCACTTTTTTTTTTTTTGGTAAAGCACTCATTATTCATGAAATTATTCCATTCTGGTTGCTAAGGTTTTGGATTTTTTGTCATTTTCTTGTACTTCATGTTGAACCTTTATTCCAACTGTGGTGATAATGAGAGACAGGGGATTTGGAAGCTGATGGCATGATGATCTGCCTTTGTGCACAGGACTCGAGTCCTTATAAAAGACGGCAGAGCGAGGTTCTTGTGCCTTTGCCTTCAGGGGCCATATCAAGAAGACTATTCCTATGAAAGGAAAAAGATAACTCAGCAGACAGATTCTGCTAGCCCGTGATCTTGGAAATCAGCATTCAGAAGTGTGAGCAATACATTTCCATTCTTTGACAGTTAACTCAGTGCAAGGTGTTTTGCTAGAGTAGCACAGACTAAGATACTAAATCATTTTATATTTTATTTTGATCACAGTTTTAGTCTAAAAATAATGAAATCAAGAGTAATCTATTCAAATTGGATTTGGAAGAAGAAAAAGCAAATATTGCACTAAAGATAGTAAATTAGTTTGGCAGGAGAGTGTTAAAAGACAAACATGAAAGGGATGAGAAATAAAATTAGATGTCTGAAAAATGTGCCCTTGTTATCAACTTCTGAAACTGTTTGATATGCAGATTATATTGCTGGAGTATTTTTATTAATCTCACTAGCCACTGGTTACTGTTCAAATTTTGTTCATTTACTTATGTTTATAGAGTGGATCTAAGATAGTTGGTCTAACGAGTTTTGCTTATTATTAGTAGGATATAAGATAGAACATTATTTTTACGAAATGAACAGAATAGTTTTAAGAAGTTACTGTTACAATAAAAACAGAAAAGTGTATCTAACAATGATATGATGAATTTTAAATTGTTATTAACAGTTTTAATTAATAAATATCAGGTTAAAATTATTCATCCAATTATTTACATGTTTGTATCATTTTTATCCTGGGAAGTGGAGGTTTTGAATAATGTAAATGTTGAAAATTATCTATGGAAGCATTAAAACCTGTCTAGTGTTAGAATTTTTGAAGGACTTTGAAGAATAAAGTAGAATTTTGAGGAAGATATTAAATAATTTAAAAATAGACATTCTCAAACAATCACATTCTTAATGAAATCTTTAAGATTTCTTTTATAACCTATTATTTTAATGACCAAAATAAGAGCAGAAAATAAAGAGGTCCCATTTATCTTCCAAGAAACTGTGTGTCCATTTTAGCTTTTCTCCAAATTAACTATGAAACTATACTTAGCTGATTTAATGTGTATCTTGATTGAAAAATGTAGGTAACATAGTAGATTATGAATTATAAAACCTGACCATATATATTGCTCAAAGCATTTTTAAGAGACTACGTTGAAGAAGTAAAGGCAATTTTTTAAAATACTGCTCTGCCACCTCTCCAACCCCCAAGAAATACATTACTATTATGTTTAAGAAAATGTTAACGTAGATATAAACTATATGACAATTTTTCATGGCAGCATTATTTTCAGTAATCAGAAAGTAGAAAAACCTTGAATAGCCACCAAATATGAATTCACAAAGTGTGCTATATCTCTAAATGGAAAAAAAATATTCAGTAATGCAAACAGCAGTTTATTAATAGATACAGGAAATAATTCTCAGTATTATTCCCTAACTGGAAGCCTTCTTTGTGTCTCATTGTGCACACTCTTAAAGTAGCAAGTCCCCAATATTATGAATGCATCACAATGCATTTTATAGTCTATATCATATAGTTTATATAATAATTTTGTATAACTTTTTCTTTGAATCCTTTCCTCTCACTAACTACAATTGTATTATATAATTTCAGTCAACAACTATGTTTTAGCAATATGCATTCGGCTACATTTTCTTTCATTTAGAAGTATCTTTAGCAACTTCAAAACTGTGTTAATAGGAAGTAAATATTTGTCCTTTTATTATCACTCAAGTGTTCTTTCTCATACTAGTTCCCTCATAAGAGCAGTACGTACTTTCTTCTCTTCCCATTCAGCAACTGTAGATAGAGTTTATGGATTATGGCAACATAACTCAAATTTTAATCAGACTTTTATGTTACTGACTTGGTAAAAGAATTACCTATGTATCTTAAAGTAACTCTGAAATGCAGTTTATTGGATTAAAAACCACATTTAGCTATATCCAGATTTGTAATGAGTCTACTGGGTTGTCACAAACATAGTTTAAATTCATGTTGACAAATTAAAGATGGCTTTACTATTTCAAATTATTATCAGTAGTACTGATAGTCAAATTCCTACTGATTCGATTATTTGTTTAATTTGAGGGAAAAAAATCACTTGGCTTCCTATATTAATATTTCTTGCATTTAACTCTTGGTTTTGTGCATTCTCTTCAAGTGATATTAAGTTTTTAGGAACCACATTATGTATATTTGCAGTGTTACTATGCCAACATAATTGCCTGAACAATTATCCTAACTTTAAATTTAGTTTTTAAGAACTCAGAGAATACTTGTTCTTCTAGAGATCTCTTGTCTTCCAGAACTGTACTGATGGAACTGTCTCAGGAACTAGGTCCCCAGATATGTATCTTCCAGCCTGGCCCCACCCATAATTTTACTGGAAATGGTTTCTGCAGCTTTAATTGGGGACGTACAAGCTTGGTTCCATGCTAAACTTCACAGGTCATTTGGCCTCTTCATCCTTAGTTCTAGAATATCTCAGACACCTGGGATCATTTCCCAGTCCATTGTGTGGATGGAGGTGAGTGTGTTTGCTTTCAGAGTTTGACATGTTAATTCTAAAGCATGCCCACTTCATTCATTATCTTTGTGGTGGAGTAGCAAGTTGAGGTTCCCACAAAACACAAGAGCCCAGGTCACAAAACACAAAAGCACACAGTTCTGTTGGGATTAATTTTAAATCATAAGTCTAGATTATGTCTGTTTATAAAAATCATTTCCACATATCCTGTTCTGGGCTTATGAAGGATTTTGCTGAATTAGCTAGTAATTTTCAACAACAACAACAACATTGGAACACTCATTTTGAAAAGGAACATATAAGATGTCAGTGTTGATAGGAAATTGCATATTCTAGGAGAAAAGGGGATGCATCAGCAGTAATTGCTCTGTGCTTCCTGCTGGCTGCCCTGTGGTCTTTGCTGGTTAACTTCACTGTCTTTCCATTGGCTTCATTTGGGTCCTGGCTTATGTGTTCACTTCTTTCTTTTACTCTCAATGGAGTACCGATCTAAAGCTGCATCTGACCTTCTTTTAAAGTTTGACTTTCCATATTAAGCCCAAACACTCATGTTGTCTACATTTAGTTTACTATGTAAGACTTAAATTTGATGTCATTTACCTTGCTTTGAAAAACCTAGAAATTAAGTTCATGAGCCATGAAATTAGACATCGGCCTATATGTACATATTCTTTAAAAGCAGGATTTGCCGGGTGTGGTGGCACATGCCTTTAATCCCAGGACTTGGGAGGCAGAGGCAGGTGGATCTTTGTGAGTTAGAGGCCAGCCTGGGGCTATAAGGAGACACTGCCTCAAAAAAGACAAAAAATAAAAAGCGGTGTTTATGGTTGTCTATGGACCTTGAATATACTGAATGACTCTGAACCTCAGTATCTTCAAGTGCAAAATGGGGATATACATGAAGTTCTTGTGGTTACTGTATAATAATATGGGCTGGAATTATTGTAGGCATGTTCCATTACTAATACAAATACACCTTCATAATAGTAATTAATGATTTAACAGATTATTCCTTGATCTCAAATTAAACAAGTAAGATAGATCATTAACTTGGATACCAATAATATTGATTATAAATTCATCCTTGGTCATTAACAGGAGTATAAGCTATTTTGATGACTAAGCCCTTCTGAAGCATTGTCTAATACTTTCTTTGTTCCTGTAGATACCTCTGAATCCAGCTGTATTATCTACTATGTCACCATTGTAATTTTTCAGATGGTAAGAACCAGCTGGATACTGAAACCTAAGGTTGTAAGAATATCACAGAAGGAAATGTTTTTGCCTTTCCCCCCTCTTATTTACAGGGTTGGTTCTTTTAGTTATCACAGGAAGTTGAGAATTATATGTGTAGTGTAATTTATTTGACAGATTATTGTGATGTCGTGAGATGTGTACCTAAAGTCTCGTAGATTTAAAATACCTTGTTACCATTTCTGGGAAGTACAAAAAGCCCATGGAGACCAAATTAAAGCTTTCTGATGATTTGTGCAGGCTTAATACAATCAGTGAAGTAAATAAGGCCCTGAGTCATAACTAAATGGGATTCAGTTGTAGA